AACCGCCCCCCCCCCCCCCCCTTTTTTTGGGAGGTAAAAAAAGGAAAAAAAAGTAAGAAAAAGAAAAAAAATGATATCCTAGAACGCCTCAAATGCTATTTTCGGGCGTCCAGAACACAAAAATTTCGCGGGGGCATGAAACAGGGTCCCGTTAGTCATAAATTCTATAAATACTGTAAACATTATTTTTAAAATGTTTAGATACTCTGGTAATTTCGACAGATGTACTTATTTTAATATACCACTGAATTGACTTAAGTGTCCCACCATGAAACTACTGTAATTCTCTCGTTTATAATATTATTATAGCGACCAATATACTATCCAGTTAAGCATGTTTGCCTACAAAAATATATTGAATTTTAAATATGCATAATCAAGCACCCTCTCACGAGAGTCATTGAACGTATTTTGATAATTTTATGTAACTTGATAATAATGTTGTAACATCTACATATATATCTTCAAATAGGAAATTTTATCGGCCCAACTTTTGCCCCCCCCCCTTTTTTTTCGGGGCCCCCTTTTTGGACATCTCTGGATCCGCCCCTGATAACATTTACTGCCAGTGGAAACAGAATTTCCATGTATCACTTGTTATTTGGACAATAGATTATTATGTATCTTGTACTGTATCTTGTATTACGTTCTAGGTTTTATCGTCGTCGAGAAACCGAAAGCTCAATATTGTAGCCTCACATTTTATATCATTCTCATTTGAGCATCTCATTTTGTATTTCTAGGTACTGGGTATGATCTTTTCCTTGTGTCTCTGTTGTGCAATAAGGAACTCCGACAAGAATTATCCTGTTTGATTTACCAAATGAAATTTATCTGGATTCTGGGAACCGAGTGAGATTTCTGTTGATCTCGTCTTTTATTTCAACTTAAATAGGCCTATAATCTCATTTTCTAAGAAGCATGCGTGTGTTACAGACAAAACTAATAATCACACATGGTGTCAAGTATTAATTCACATAGGCCTATAAATTTGTTAATTTCAGTGACTGATTTTAACAATTGAGACAGGGTCCTGTTAGTCCTAAATTCTATAAATACTGTAAACATCATTTTAAAATGTTTAGATACTCTCTGGTAATTTCGACAGATGTACTTATTTTAATTGACTCAAATGTCCCACCGTGAAACTACTGTAATTCTCTCGTTTATAAAATTATTATAGCGACCAATATACTATCCAGTTAAGCATGTTTGCGTACAAAAAATATTGAATTTTAAATTTGCATAATCAAGCACCCTCTCACGAGAGTCATTGAATGTATTTTGATAATTTTATGTAACTTGATAATAATGTTGTAACATCTACATAGTATTTGATGTATAGACCAACGGTAGTGGTATGTCATTATGTATACACAGACCGTCCAATAACTGAATTATTCTTGCTTACTACACCGTAATATATATAAAAAAGTTTTAACTTTAATACCTATGATGTACAGACAGGACCAACAAACGGACAGCACATTCAGTTACTAACCATTTCTGTGGATCTAGTTCTTACTAGAATGCTTCATACGCAAGAGGCTTGGTGTAAAACTAACGATTGCGTTTTTGTACACCAGTCAACCTTTTGTGTGGGCGTGTACGCGCATACTTGCAAGTGGTTAAAATCTTAATCGACTGCACATAGCTTGTTCACATTACAGCACAATGAAACGCAACTAATGCGTTACTTGCTTAGAACCAATGCGTCTAATTTGCTCTAGTGTGAACAAGATTAATGGCGTGCGTAGTCGTATACGCTAGCGTTACCGCCAAAACGCGTACCTAAAATAATTGGTCTAGTGTGAACTTAGCTTGAGGATACCTAGGACTTTGGTGTTTGTTATGTGTTGGATGAAGGTGTGGTTTACTGTCGTACAATGTTTTATTAGTCTTTTTAAACGACCAATTTATATGCATGTTTGTAAGATAATATTTTTGTAATAATATGTAGATAATGTATTGTCATTTTCATGTTACTATTTTAAAATAGCTGCGTTGTATATGCAAAATGCAGTTATGTTTTAAGTATTAGTAGTAATTTTAGACAGGGTTAAGTACAGTACATTTGGATCATTTTACCGACCAATCGTAGCCTACCTCTAATGGGGATTAGTATTTTGAGTGAGGCCTAAAATAAATAAGCATTTTTAATAATACCATAGCAATAATAGTAGCAGGTCTGGGGCGCAAAAGACGAGGTTGTGTTGGGTAGTAGCGGTGTATAGACGCCGAATCATGCTTCCATCCATAGAAACTGTTTTTTGTAGGTGTCCAGAAAGGTGTTTTTTTACATACAGTAATATTGCACAAATTGCCATGTTTTTAGCCGTATACTATTCACAAATCAGGACATATTAGACAAGCAGGTTTCATTATTCCTTTCAGATGTTTAATAATATTATTAGAGTACCAGATTGTTCATTTTTTATCATCTTTGTAATTGTCATTTTTGGAATATTACGGTAACCTACAGACCATATCGAAGGGCCTATGGATCATAGTTTGTTTAAGTAAATAAGCCAGTTCGTAATTCGAAACGCGCATGCCCTTACCAAGGTCAATGGACATAAACAAGCATAAAACACAACATAGGTTTATGTCGATTGACTTCAGTTGACGATATGCGGACATAATAATAATAATAATAGTTGGATTTGTAGAGCGTATCATGCGAAAAAGCCTCTATGCGCTTGGTGATTGAGCTCTTTGAGTTGGACATTTTGAGAAAAAAAGAAAGTTTAAGTTATTTTTATGAAACTAAAAAAACCTACTCCTTAAACTAAGGCATGTTTGAACCACGAATTGCGCAGTTTGAACCACGAATTGACTTATAATTATATAGTTCGCAAATAGAGATTGTAACATCACTTGCTTATATGTTTTCAATCTTCAGCGTCGAACGACGCGTAAACATGACTTGACGATGTGGTTTCTTTTCTCGTACTATATTAGTACCTTAAAGAAATAATAATTATTGTGGGATGGGGTGTAAGAATTCCAGCAACCCCTATTCAACACAAGCTTTCTACGCTCCTTGATCCAAACTGTTGCTATGACTTATTTCTAATTACCAATACTATAATAATAACCAAAAATGAATTAAATGTCCAAATAAGTTGTTTTATTTATATAACGGGTACGTGTGTCATATTATTATAGTTGATCGAATGGCTGATGCGTGCGTTAGAAATAATGCTATATTCAGACATGCTTTGTTTTTGAATGATAACGGAATATGAAGAATGCTATTTGTTGTACCATCTCACTATATTGCTGTGCTTGCCGACTTAAAGTTAATAATATTGTACCGATACTGTATTCCGCTGTTTTTACATATGAATGTTGCTTTGTGTATAAATAAACAACTGCCAATGTGCCAATTGTCTTTTCAAAGTTGGTATCAATACTGTGAGTACACACACGTGCGGAGCGCACCATAACACACGGAATGCTGAGCACACACACGAGCGCGCACTCACACACACACACGTAATTTACAGCAGAGCAATACAAATTATGTCATAAATGTTTTTAGGTTTACCCCATTATTTATGGGGGAAAAACATATTACCAATTATTGGATTCATAAATAAAAATATTAAATTCATAGGCCTAGTCCCTACAAAGTATCAGGAAACAACATAATCCAAAATAATACATAACACTCTGTGACTACTAATTATTATATAGACCAAAAAAAAAAGACTTCTTTCGCAGCCATCGTTTAATTACTTCGCAACGACGGGGCGCTCTACAGACTGATACATGAGGCCAAGCTATACTGTACTGTAATTGTATTTGGATCTTCCTATTGTGACATGTTTTTAAGGTACAGTATTGCGTAATGCGTATTAAGAGGTCCTTATATAGGCCTAACAAAGTCTTTACGACCTAATACGAATTTTTATTATTTCCTATTTTCAGCTTTTGATTGCAGTCACACCATCTCAATCCACCAACTGATTACCGGTACTGTCACATGGCCATTGGCATTCTTTTCCTATTTATAAGGAATATAAGGGCGGATCCAGGCTCATTTTGCCAGGGGAAGTGGGTGGGGCACGCTCGAAGCACAAATCGATAACCTGGTCGAAGTGCCTGATTAGGGTGTACGTGGGACGGATGGTCTTTGAAAGCGCCGGCATTTTAGCCATTTTACTCATAAGCCTCTTCTACATAAAATTTCGTCGCTCGCATTCGAGTTTCAGGAAATTGACACGTATAGTTTCAATTAATTTAGTAATCAGTCAATCGATCAGTCGATTGATACTTGATGTCACTTTCATTCATCCTCCCCTTAATCCACGAGACGCTTTCTTCTTGTGGAAAGGACTAATGCCGCGATTACGGTATTTTACGAAGTAAAAGACAACGAAGAAATTAATTATTTGATTTTACAAGTCTTTATCCGTGCTGTTAACATACAGTGGCGGCGCCAGCAGGGGACAGGGGGCGCTTAAGTCTCCCCCCCCCCACCAGACGTTCCTATTCTTAACAAATTATCATTTGGGAGGGGGACCCTCTCGAACCCTTCCCCAGCTCAGGCCTACAAGCTCAAGTATCCTGTCGGACAGCTCAGCCCCCCCCCCCCCCAGAAAATATATCCTAGAACCCCACTGATTACATACCCACCCTGAAATTTTAGCATTCAAAATTATGTCAACTGTTATTATTGATTATTTTAGCCTAATTTAAGTGTACGGTAGAGCAAATTGATACGACTCACCATAGCATATCAAAATGTAGCATTGTGATGATATAATGCAACAGCATAACATAGCAAATAGCATAAAAATGATATAACATAACACATCATAGCATAGTACTGTCATGATATAACATCAGCAGCATAACATGGCATAAAAATAGATATCATATTACATAAAACAGCAGTAGGCCTATAACATGATATGAATATTAAAGTAATAATATAACAACATAGCATAACATGGCATAAAATACAGTGTCGCATAACATGTTATATATGCAACTACACAGCACAATATGGTAATTACAAAACTAACGTCGGGAGCCTACTTACATATTTACTCTGGCTCCAAAATGTGCGTTAAGTTTATAGCAGGTGAATACATAGCCACAATCAACAGGGAACTACACCACACATCAGCGCACCCCAATTTATGTGCTAAAACGCAGCACCACACAATTTTGATTAATACTCCATTAACACTGGCGATACCTCTCCTACGGCCCTCCCCTGTGCTCTGTTCTGCAATCCATTATAACAAACAACCCGTGCTTGTGAATCGTCCACCTCCATGCAAATTACTTTATGCACCTTTAAGGTGACTCCTAACACATACACTAGTGCTATACTCTAAGAAAGAATGGGTTCTTTGTCTTCATCTGTCCTGTTATTGAACCCATAATAGCACATATTTCCCTTTTTCATTTTATGTACAAAAAAGTAATGTAAAGCTTTTCTCTGTTAGAAACAAAAATTATGATGAGCATAATTTAATTTTCCCTTAATTTAATGAACAACTTAATCAAAATAGCATTTTCCTTTGTTTAATTATATATAATTAAGCCTATGATATATAAGTAAGTCTATATAATAATGATTCATTATTTTTTCATTATTAACGCTGATGAAGGCCACAGGAGTGGCAGAAATATCTGAGTTACAAATAAATCAGTGTTCTTAAAGTCTACTAAGTTGTTTCATTTGTTTTCTCTATTCTGTCGAAACACACGTGGAACACGAATGAAATATATATATATATATATAATATATATATATATATATATATACACTCTATTACACAATATTATATATAATTTAACAGATTCAAATAACCACTAGATACACTATATATATATATATATATATATATATATATACTCTCACTATTCAGCGTTTGTACTATATTTCTAGGATTCCTATTTCTACGTTTAATCTGCTCATGTCTCAGCCACAATATTTTGAGGCCAATATTATTTACGAACCCAGTTAAACTTATTTACTAGCCTATTTCAACGTACTAATTATTACATTTTTGTTGTAGACTGGCATAGTGTTTTCGGAAATAAATACCATTTTATACACATGCGCAGATCGATTCGCCAGCAGCGAGTCATCGCCAGCAGCAGCAGCGAGTAGCCAGCAGAGAGATGTCACTGCAGCGTTAGGTACACGGTACCAACGCTGTTCTAATATAGACAATGGGTCGTGCTCATATTATTTGTTATATTTTTATTATTCATTATTTTCACTTGACTCGCATAAATAATTTTGTTCGAAGAATATTTTATGCAGTTGTACTTCGCAGCACTTCACTTGCAATTTGCAATTTCTAGTTATAGATTACTAAAATACAGTATTCTTTTAATCGATCGAAAATTTATTTTAATAGGGCGCCGCCGTACATCACGGATGTGGGCGTTCCTCCTCCCTCGGACGGACAGACGCACACTCATTGGCTAAAAGTTCAGCTTCAGCTGATAAACGTTGTTGATTGGCTGATATCCTCCAGCAGATCGCCGACACGACGACGATTATAAGAGACGTCACCGTCGTTGGACAGTGAACTGGCGCAATTTTTTCTTTCGACTCATCAGACGACAATTTATTTACAGGACGAATTTAGTTAGCGCTGCAGAACATTTTCTCCATAAAACTAGGCCGTACCCATCTTTCAAGCCATGGCAAATATCGATTCATCTACGTAAGTAGTGGAATATAATCACTATTAAAAAATATAGCTAAGGCTAGGCCTAGTGAAACTTTCTACCGCGGCGAGATTAGGTTCGGCTGAAGCCTCTTTCTACCTAGGGTCTATGCCTAGCCCGTAGGCCTAGGCTAGGCCTGTCTCTTATACACATCTAGATGTGTATAAGAGACAGCCTTTAAGGG